CTGATATCTCTTGTCTTCTCATTCAGTTGTCAGCTTAAGGTAAGGTCTGACTTGACCATTTCTTCTCCAGCATGATCATGGATGTTGGCAGGCTTCCCTCGACGTAAAATGATCTATTCCCCAATGGTCACATCCAGAGGATGAGATGAGACATACGGAGTCAAATTAGTGTCAAAAAGGCAATGCCTCCCAATTTTCTAATTCAAACTGATTTGGAGTTGATAATTTTAATAAAGTCAACCACCCTATCAGACAGTTTGCAATTGACATCATTCTCAAATTTTTGTTGTGTTGTTCTGAACACCCTATTTGAAACAGAGAACTCTTGAACTTCCTCATTCTGAGTATTAAAAAGTACTGCCCTTGGGCTGGGGATGTGGCTCAAGCGGTAGCGTGCTCGCCTGGCATGCGTGCGGCCCGGGTTCGATCCTCAGCACCACATACAAAGATGTTGTGTCCGCCAAAAACTAAAAAATAAATATTAAAAAAAAAAAAAGTACTGCCCTAGCCCAGCAGCAAAGCACTACCTAGCATCACCTAGGTATATTAATTAATGTATTTATACATATACATATATATGTATGTGTAGGTATATAATAATTTATACATACATATGTATAATACATAATACACATGCATATGCACACATATCATCTGACTTTTGTTTCTATAAATTGTAACTACTTCTGTAGAACCTATGGAGAAACAATGTACCTGCTTCTCCCCAGTATAATCAAACTGTGTAAAATTCTTTTTCCTTTTTAGATCATTTACTTGTTTCTGAGGCAGGCAGGTGGCTGACTCTGGCCAGGCAGGATCCACAGAGACCCTGGCTTAGCTGCTGATAGCATGTTAACCTATAAATTTCCACAGGTGGGACCATCTGGGGACAAGAAGTGAAATAAATACTTTAAAAAAATCTTTTACCCCCATATGTCTTGAGATTATACATACCCATGTACACATGCACACACACATGTGTATGTGTTTAGGTTCACATACACACCAAAACCCCAGAGTATTAACCCTAGATTCTCTGCCCCTCTTCATAGGGAAAAAAAAAAAAAAAGGCTGGTCATGACTAATGCTATAGAACCTGTTTTACTCCTAAACAGAAGTAACCAAACCAAGGCAAACGTGTGGCTGGAAACAAGTTTGGTTGGCTCCAGACAAAGGCTTATTTTTTAAGCACAGATGGCTAAATCCTTGCCTCCTCCAATAGGTTGCCCATTGCCTGCCAATCAAAGGCAGATTTTTATTTCTAATCTATGCAAATATCTTACTCGGGAGGGACATCACAAAGACTAACTGTTTTGTGTCAGACACAGCCCATCCCAGGTGCTCTGGGAGATGCCAGACCCCATCTCCACCTGGGATGACAGGGGACCCAGGGCTAGAGAGTTAGTCATTAACCAGCTCCTAATGAATATTGTTGGGGCCTCCTGTGAAACACGCCACTGGAATCCAGCCCCACCTCCCTGCTTCCCCTGGGCTACTCTGCCTGGAAGGCAGTTTCAGCAATTCAGTTTAGACCTTAGATGCTTCTAAAACTCTGATTTTCAAAGGCTCCTACTGACTGTTAATGGATTCTTCACCTAGGCATTCCAATTCAAACTTCATTTATTCATGTCTAACACTAAACCCAGAAAACTTCAGCATTTAAATATGTTATTGTGTTCAAACCAGCTCTCCTTTATACCCTGGTCCACGTCCCTACAACTCATGACAAGACTCACGGAATCACACCTGGGTTTGTCGGTGGCCCTCAGAAACCCAAGCGCACACAATTCTCTCTCTCTTTTTTTTTTCCTTTTTTCCTCCTGTTATCAACTTTCCTTTCTTACAACACTCTTTTCTCTTATTTCTCTACCTCCTGGGCTTAAGTCTTTCACTTGCTATGACACCCCTTGGCACATTCCATTTTAGGGCCCCTTGAGACAAAAAAATATGACTCTTTTTTGTATGCTAAAAACAAACACGGACACTCCTTGGTGCTAACCCAACTCCTAACTTTAAACATCATTTGCCCAAAAAAGCAGATTATGCCTGAAATCTCCTCAGTTTACTTCCAAAGTTTAAGTCTGAAAATGTCTTTCAAAACTTTTTTCTTCGGTGATTTTTCTGCTTACATGACAGTAAGAGTTTATCTCAAAATCCTGTATTGGAAAACACTTCTTTCTCCCCTTGTTAACCTTTATCTAAAATGGACCAGACTAGCTGAGTAGAAAGAAATTCTAAAGCAAAAGGAAAGAAGTTCTTTCTAACCAATAGCTACCTCCCAAACTTCTTATTCTACAACTCAAACCTTGAAATCCAAACACTTTTTGTTTCAGTTTATAAATGCCAATATTACTGACAGTCTGTTCAAATGATTCAGCTTTAAGTTTACTTTCTGAGAAAATCTAACTACAGAGAGTTTGAGAGGTTAACTCATCCACCTAGTTCCAGGTTTGAACACATGAGGTGTCCTATTTCTTTTTAGCCCCTCCTGATTTCCAGCCCTAGGCATTCCAATTCAAACTTCTGCTAAAGCTCCAGAATCCGTATTTATCATAAATGATCCACATAATTATGAAATAGCAGGCCCTGGTCTGAGAACTGCTGATCTTTTCCAACATCCTACCCAATATAGTGGCCTCCTCAATAAGACACACACAGGCCATCTAGGCTGCAATATTCCCAGAGATCTCATCCTTTTGTAAGTCTTGTTTCACTTTTATATGGCTTCAGTATTAGAAACTGTGTTCTTACGTAGGACCAAATAGCCAAAGTATTTCAATTCCTTGAACTTCACCTTGTCGGCTCTAATTTTGTGCTCCTGAGTTAACAGAATACCCCCTAGAGAGAGAGACAAGTCTTTAAATACCTAAAGGCAGCTACTGTGCCCTTGTAAGTCTTCATTTTTCTAAGTTAAGTCAACTCTTTTTCTTTAACTTCACAAAGCACAATTTCTGAGTCCTGCACCATTTCAATTACTCTTCCTCCACAACAGACATTACAGAATAAGTCTCTCCATAGTAACAAAACTTCATTTTTCTTACAATATTTTTTTTTCAATGTGCACTAATTTGTAGTATTTTGCCCTTGTCACTTGGCTTGAATTTAGTGATCCAAGAGCTGAGTTTCAGCAAGTACTTATCATCGTAATGCTGTGTGCCTAGCACTGTGTTAAGTACCCAAGCAGGATTCTAAACAGCAGAAACTGCTTCATTGCAGGAGGTGGTCATTCCTTATACAAGAAGGACTTGATGAAATAACTTGAAAACAAGTGCATGATAGTATATGTCAAAGTGCTTCAAATGACTATGATGATAATGGATAAATTCCTGCGTACTTGATTTTCTGAGTCAGACTGTGAGTTAACCCATGGCCTCTATTTTCAGACACAACACCTATTTAACAACAGCATGCTTTTGGTTTTTTCGTTTTGGCTTTTTGGTAACAGGGATTGAACTCAAGCGCACTTAACCACTAAGCCCTTTGTTATATTTTATCTAGAGACAGCATATCACTGAATTGCTTAGGGCCTAAGTTTTTGATTTTAAAAAAAGAGACTATCGGGGGCGAGGATTGTGGCTCAACGGTAGAGCACTCTCCTTGCACAACGAGACCCTGGGTTCAATCCTCAGCACCATATAAAAATGAATAAATAAAATAAAGGTATCGTGTCCATCTACAATTAAAAAAATATTTTTTTAAAAAAGAGACTATCAAAAACATATATAAAAATTTCAAGTGCACCCTTATTTCAAAAATTTAAAATCTACCAAACTATGTAAGGAAAAGTAGTAGAATACTGTGCCTTCCTATAAGTATGCCACTTATTGTTTTAGCTTCCCAAGCACTCTGAATGCCAAGGTGAAATGCAGCACATTGGAGATGCACCCAGTGGTGGAGCACTTGCCTAGCACATGTGAGGCCCTGGTTCAATTTCCAGCACTGCAGAGAAAGGTGGGGTGGGGGGAGTAGAGGGTTTATTGGATTCCCTTTCCTGCTGGAAATACTCATTTACCAAGGAGTCTTCCGAGGCATTTTCATGGAAAATTCTTACTAGTAAGTAAATCTTACTATATCAACAAAAATGTATTTGTTTTATTGACAGAATTATAAATTACCAGAACTTTCTGAACTCTTACAAATATCTCAATTTACAAATAAGAGGGGGAAATATCAAGTGATTCAAGATGGCAAATGGTTTCTCCAAGGTACAGCAGAATAGGGCCAATATCCAGAGCTTCTCTCTACTGTTTACTTCCTGTCCCCTCTTATTTAACCCATTAAGTTCCAAGTTTTCCATTTTGCAGATATTCCATGAAATTGACACAGGTGCATTAAAATAGGTTGAAAATCATGATCTAGAGCTTATGTATTTTATATACATTTTCATATATATGTGTGTGTAGATGTATATGCATATAGATAAATTAGAGGATGTGAAGTGAATATCAGTTTTCTCAAAGGAACAGAACTATATAAACATAATATTTATTTTCAAAGTTATCATAAGTGGCATATTTGTTGCTCAATTTAAGTTTTAATATATATCCCATGTCTAGAATGATGGGATCTAATGGGTTAACCCAGAACAATCAAAACTCTTGCCCTCTCAACATTTCCTCCTTAATTTTACATCCATCTTTAGTTACCTTCCTAATCTTCAAATCCAAAGCCTGATAAATTATAAATTCCACCGTTCCCCCCCAAATTCTTCTATGCTGCTTGACACAATGTTCTGCCTGGCTCAAAATCACTGCTGCCTTACCACTGTTACAGGGAACCACTGGGGTTAGCCAGATGGATTCAACCATGCAGAGAGTACTTGCTTAGCAGATGTGAGGCCCTGGTTCAATCTACAGCTGCAAAGCAACAGGTCAACACTGTCCAACTACCCCACCCTCTCTGCCACTATATACACCACTACCTCAACCAGCTCATCTGCTTCATCAAGAGAATCACAGTTATTTCATACCCTTGTATGGGGAGAGGGGGCGTGCACCTACCTTGTGGCCTCTTGCTGAAGCCATGACACATTTGGCACATAGAACATGACTCCAAAGAAAAGCAGAGGCTCATTAGCGAATTTGTCCAGATGTTTCTTCAGGGGTTTCTCCAGCTCCACCCATCGTGCTTGCTGGCTCTTGCTGAGAAACCAAAGGCCAAAGTAGTGCGTCTAGATAAAAGGGTATAAAACTGCATCAGTTCATGTTTTCCACATGCATCCTGAGATCACACAAAACACAAGATTGCAGTTTCTGCATCATTTTCAGTTCCTCAGCTTATACACAAGGATCCAGCTTATATTTTCTAGGTTTGGAACAAATTAAAGGCAATCATAACCACAGAATACTGTAACTGACACTGATCATCCAGATACAGCATCCTACCCAGTGTGGCCTTTAGTAAATGTTGGTCCCTATTCAACTGTATTAGGAAAGAGGGTGGTGCAGGGTGTGGACAGTGCTGACCCCCCCTTTTTTTTTCTAGGAGCTAAAGGCTGGTTTTCCTGTGTGTCTTCCCAATGCCTCATGATTGCACATGGAGCTCGCTGGCAAAGGCTAACATAGTTATTGCACCTGCTACAGAATAACTTATTACTCAACCCCTAAGATAAAACCTGCCAACTGAAAGCTTCTGCACTGTAGAATGTGTTCCTACAATGCCAGATTTTAACCAAAACTGTAATCATTCTTTTTGAACTTTAATGAAGTACTTTAAAAGCATCACCCTGTCACTTTATTATTCATGAACTGCAGCATCTCTCTCCAGGTACCAAGTGCAGAAAGGGGAAGGCTCTACTCTCCACAGCTGCCCCAAGAGCCCCTGATGGCTGTTCTTGGCAGACTGGTGGGATTTGACAGATGAAAGTGAGATTTTTCACCCTTAGACCCTTAGCCTCAACTGGCTTAGTTTTGAACAACATGCTCAATGATTAAAACAGGTACTTTTATGCACCCAATCCTGTCTTTATATTAATTCATGCTAGGATTTCAGGATTAGCACAATAATCACCAAAAAACAGAACACTGCTTTTGAAGATTCTTTTATATTTCAATTATAGCCTACGACCGTTTACAGCAGCACACCTGGAAATCTGCCTTCAAAAGAATGTTTTCATTACAAGGTTTAATTTCCAAAGGCATTCTTACACTGATGCTCCTGCTCCAGCTGGCTGTCCCCTCAATTTACCAAAGATCAATCTCTGCCATGACCCTACCAAAATCTCTAATGAAACTCTGACTCTGATTTTCCTAGGAAACCAGATGTCCCCTGCCTACACAAAGCTGCAAACCCAGGTGCTTTTAAAGGACATTTTTAAATGGATTTACTTTCAGATGGGCACAATGATTTCATCAGCCTTCTTCCATGGTGTTCCAAAAAGCAAGTTCAGAATCAGAAATCTATCCATTTCTCAAGTGACAAAAATGCCAACAATCAGAGTCCCAGTCATATTTTTATCAACTTAGGCACACTTGAGTGAATTCTGACCCTACTCTTCATTTCCTAGCTTCAGTGAGTGCATCAGGTGTTCCAACACAAGCTCAGGCTCACGTAGAGGAAATGAAATGCCGCTAAAGAGCAAGAAACAGGCTTTGAAGCCAATTCATTTCCCAGCTTTTGCACCGTTCAAATAGTAACTTTGTGCAAGTCACTGGGCAACTTCCCCCACCCTAGCCCCCACAAGACTCTGAGCTTTCTCACCTGTAAATGAGAATAACTAGGATTGCTGTAAGGAGTGGACTTCAGATAATGCTTGCCACCCATGTGCATGGTAAGTACGTCATAAACACTGCCTTCTGTGGCTGCTGGCTCTGTTACTCCTGCTGTGACACCACCATCACCAGTAAACGGTGTGTCCTCAAAGAGATTTTGGGACCCCAGATTTCTCTTTTGCTTTCTATCCACGAGGGACATGGTTTTGCTCTTCCAGGCACCTCCACCCTGAAATGTTGCCTTCAAAGGCCTCAAGCAACAGGGCCAATCAACCATGAACTGGTACCGTGACATCATAAGCCAGAATAAACCCTTTCTCTTTATAAGTCAATTATCTCAGGTATTTTTGTTACAATAACAGAAAGCTAACACAGAATTAGAAAACAGAGATCATTCTGGAAGTAATGAGAAAAGTAGACAAAAGTAGAAGCTGGACCTAAGGAGTATAAGGGAAAAAATAACAATAAAGCAGTGTGACTCCCCTAAATTAGTCTTTAAAAATCTCAGTATAAGCATTTAGGGACACTGGAACATCAGTCTGATGATATTCTTGGGGATCTATAATAAAGACTTAGGCTAGCCTCCAATAAGGTAACTTGGGTCGTTAATTCAGCAAACTTGTTTGATAAAGGTCAAAGGCATTTCTGCATTATTCTGAATCCCTCTGTGGAGGATAGTGCCATATAAGGGTCTCCCACTACATTTTGGATGACTAGAAGTGTTTACATATAATAAATGAGGTAATGTACATAAACTGTAACATGCTATGCAATAATTAGAGTTGGAAAAGAGCCCTTTTATAAGCATGGGTGGAGGAAGGGAGGGCAAGCTTCACAATTGCTTAATAGAGTAACCATGATTTATGATCTTTCACTAAAAGTAGTTTTGACATTTGGCGGGTATTTATATGGTCCTTACCTCATTCTAATTGTAATATTCTCTCAAATTGGTAACATTCAAATCATAAAGGGTCACAAGAACCACATAAACATTTGACAACTGATTTTACAAAACAAAACAAAAAAAAATATTATTGCTCCTATAATTTAAAGGTTAATGTTTCAAATTTCCTCTTTATCATTCCCACCCATTCGAATCATAAAACCAGATCTGAATGCTTGCAAAACACATCCAAAGAATATTCCATGGAGTGCACACATCTGCACGTGCACATGAAGAAATACATGCTCCTGCACACCAACACGCACACACCCACATGTAGAAATGAAGAAGTAGAAGAGAACTCAGAGTAAGGTAATAATCTTGAGCCACAGTTAATAATATAGAGTTCCAAATAACAATGCAAGCCACTTCTAGTGGAAAAACCTAATTTATGGCATTTTTCGCTGCTGCTGCTGCTTAAATACAGCATTTTCCAGAGGACGAAGAGTATTTCAGAGTGACTCACTATGCAATTACCCAACGAAATGGTTACATAACTATTCCAGAAATGGGGTTCCCAGTGCAGGGTAGAATTAGGGGAGGCAAGTTATCTGCAGCACAAAGTTTACAACTACTCACACCCAGGATATCCTGATTTTAGTGCTGAATTCAGTTATCCAGCAGGAAGGAAAATCCATTTATGAGGTTCCCATCCCTGCTCTATTTTTTTGATGCTGTGCCCAAAATAACCTTCTCCATTCCCACCACACTTCTGTCCTTCTGCCTCTGGTTACACCCCTACTCTAGAGCAGAAAGATCCTGATTCGAAGCTCTTACAATCCTTTGTTGAAGTTCAACATAGCCATGTCTACACAGTGCCTCACAGGAAATGGAATCAGAACCTGAGCCCTCAGTTCAACACGCATGTGCACCAACCAACTTCCTGTGTACTGCCCAAGGGACTATTAATCCCATTGAGCCCAGCTGAGACCACTCCAGGCCTGTTCATAACAGACCGACCAATTTAAACTCTAGCTGCATTTTGTGAGCTGGGCTCCACTGCTGAACACTGCCACGTGGGTGAGGAAAATGTAGGAGATGATTCCAAACAGAAACCACCTTCTCCCTAACCAGAAGGATCTCCTCGCATTACCTGAATAAATGCCTGAAACGTCTGTTTCATGTCTAAGGGACCAGAGGCAAGCCAGACCCAGAGGATCCTCATGATACCCTCTGGTAAAAATCCCATTTTCCTCTCTAGTTTTAGAGCCACTGAGCTGGTGCCCTGAGTTCTGCAATGACTTTACTGCAATGAGAAAAGAAGTCCAAAGAACCCATTCCCAGGGAGAGGAACCACATCTCTGAATCAATTACTAAAAACGTACTAGGATGAAACAACGTAGGAAAGCCACACTAAAATGTTATTTTTATGTGATAGTTTCGATTTGGTTTGAGGTTTTGTATTTTAACAGAGGAAGCATAAACAGACCAAAAAGTCTGCTGGTTTCTTCAGTGGGAGACTGGTGTGTCTTTAACTTTAGCATTAAAATGTCCATTGGTCCGTATTGTGAAAAGATTCTAGGGAATAAAGGTCATTATAAATAGCTTGAGGCAGTGGGTATATTGGAAATCTCCATTCCTTCTGCTCAATTTTGCTGTGAATCTGAAACTATTCTAAAAAACTAAAGTCTATTGAAAATAGCTTGGAGTCTTTTTGATTTGTTCAATCATTTATGTGTAAAGACATGATATATTTCTGAACATTAACAACTAATAAGATTTTTTTCTTTTTTGTGAGGGTTTTGTTTATCCAGTTTTGTGACCTATGGAATGGCTTTAATATTATTTGTAAGGGTAACAGATTCAGGCTTGGCAATTACAACGGATTAAACTCTTGATCTTAATGAAAGCATTTTGAAGAGCTAATCATCCAGAAGCAAAAGTTTAAAACATCTTGCCTTTAGTTGTAACAGGTTGCCTGTCTTACCCAGTATTTCCATTGTCAATTAAGAAACAGTGTTGGTGTGCGTCCACATAAAAGGACAGGAGTTACGTGCAAGCATTAGCAGTTTCACCGTCTCACCGAGGCATGGAAAATATTTCAAAAAGGTGACCATAAGCAGACTCTGAAACAGCACTTCATGCAATTACATTCCAACAGCTTTGGAAAATAAACCACTTTACCTCAGTTGGATAACTGTAAGAACCAACTGGTGTGCAATCAACCTCCGCTCCGGGTAGGTCTGGGATTTCTACAACTGACACATCTATAATTAACAACTGCGCCATCTTCATTTTCCTAGCCATTATCTCCATGAAAGGACAGGAAAACAAACTGCAGAATCACACAGGTATAGGAGGCACTGCTCCCTTGGCATATTAAAAAAAATGAAGCCTTACAGGGGAAGACGGGGGAAGTTATCTCATCTGTGGTCTCAACTCCTAGAAAATGGAGTCCAGATGCCAACTCACATTATAGGTCTGACAGAGCTGGTGAGATTTCATCTTATAATCTTTTTTAAATTTTTTTAATTTATATATGACAGCAGAATGCATTACAATTCTTATTATACATAT